AGAAGATGTGGTTTATCTATACCATGGAATACTTCATGGCAATGAGAAATAATGAAATCTGGCCATGTGTAGCAACATGGATGGACCTTGAGGGTGTTATGCTGAGCGAAATAAGTCAGGCAGAGAAGGACAAATATCATATGTTTGCACGTATAGGAGGATTAGGAGGAACTTGACGGAGGAACAAGGGGGAGAAGAAGGGCAGAAATGGTGGGGGAAAGGGAGAGAGGCAAACCATGAGAGACTCTTGAATGCTGACAAAAATTGAGGACTGATGGATGTGGGGGGGAGGGGGGGATGGGCATGGATGAGGGCACTTTGGGTATGAGCACTGAGTGTTATGTAGAAACTAATTTGACAATAAACTATTTGTAAAAAAAAAAAAATTATGGTCAAGAACAAATTATAATCATATGATGCAGTGATTTGGTAACCAATCAAAAGATAATTCAGTAAGTTTTAGTATTATAAAGTCCTTCATTGGTTGCTATTATTATTTTCACCTTTAAAAGATCCAGAACTTTTCTTTATTTTAAAATATAAAAATATATCTGTTTTAACTAAAGAAAAATATAAGCAAGAATAGATAGATAGTCCATATTACATATTTCATCTTGAATAACTTAGCAGGGAAAGATTTTTGGATCATGAATGTTCCCATGTTTTGCATTTTTGTCTTTGGAGTTAGACTGTTTTTCACACGCAGAGCAGCATCATTCCACTGCACCTCCATGAGATCTTTATATTATGCTCAACTGAAATAAAACTGACTTTCATTCTCGCTAGAAAGTTTTTTTTTAAGTGATCATGCCAGGGTCTTTATTGGGCATTATTAATCCAGCGATTGGGTACTATCTGACTGGTCAGAGTGACATTATGTAAAACTAGTCCTTTTGAGTCAGTTTACCACTTCCTGAACTTCCAAAGATATGCTAAAAAAGCTGGATTCAAATCTGCATGATTAATTTCACATTTATTGATTAATATACAAAAGGTTATAATAGAGTATTTTTGCTATATAATTAATATCAGTGGGAATTATGTATATCATTGTATATGGACCCATGTGTATGTATGTATATATGTACATATCTAGCATACATAAATATGTATATGTATATACACATATGTCTGCAAATGGATATCTCTTGTCAGATCACAATTTTGATTTGAAAATGTTTTAATGAAATAATTTAAAACACTCAAAAAGTTAGGTTGATGTTAGTATTTAAGCAAGGGTACAGAACTGGCTAATGAAAATATCGAGAGCTTGATCATGGTTTAAATGGCATCGTGTACTGACCATTAGAAGGCATGGTCTCTACCTTTCCGCACTGCTTTGGCTTTCTAAATTTTATGCATTTAGAAGCCTTATGCTCTGAAAGTCCTTTTTCATTTTAAATAATTTATCGATATTACTATGAGGCAGTAATCTGGTCCTGAGGATTTTAGCTTTTTTTTTCTCAAAAAATATATGAGAAGCTTATGGAACTTACAAAGTTGGTATATATTAGTCTATATTTCTCAACCTCCCTTGCAATGTATAATAGTCGGGCCAATGAAATGGGAATAATATCAGAACAAAGAAGTTAAAAACTGACCTGCTTGCCATATCTCCTTTTCCCCACTTTGATGGCATTATAATTCACAAAGCTTTGTGATCAGATCATGGTGTAACATCTAAGCTTTGCTTTAAGATTTCTCTGCAACTTCTATTTGTACCTTGTGTTGGTAGGTGTTAATTAGTTTGGCCAATATAGTGATTTACTTCAATCTTTTCTATGTTGTTGTGTGAGTAGATTCATAAATATTTACAAAGATTAGAAGGGAAAGTCAATTTTTAATAACATAGAAATTATATTTTTGGCTTTCAAATCTTTAGATGTTATATAAACCCACTATATCCCAAAGTAGCCTTTATTTAATATTGATCCCATATATATTCGTCAAAATAATTCCATGTTCTAACAAATTTAAGAGATGCTATGCTATGCTATATAATGAACCACCTTACATCTCTGTCTTAGGTGCTTCAAATTATCATATTTGAAAGTTAAGGTTAATTCATCAGTGAATAACATGGCTTACATTCCTTTAATTTAGTGCTTATATAAACCAAAACACATTAAGTTAGACCATATAATATATTCCTAAACTGTTGTCCACAAACATTAGATATACCTCATTAGATTATATTTTATTACAAGATCATAAAAAGATTGTGGAAGAAAGCCAACCAGTAGGTCTTTTCATGTGTATTTTCAAATCATATCATAAAATTGGTTATCAATAAGAATGATTTAGATGTTAACTTACTAGACTGAAATTTTATTTAGGGAAAATATTCCTATCTTTATATTTTTAGTATTTTCAAAAAGTGCTTTGCATTTAATAGGCTCTTTAAAATATTTGACATTAAATGAGTAAGATATTTCATCTCTTAACAATGTCTTCCTGCACTCCTGCAAGCCACAATAATGGCTAGGAAAGAATTAGAAGAAGACCTCATAGAAGTAGAGGACGCTGTGTTTCAAGTTTAAATATCTGTGTAATTAGTGTGATGATACACATTAAATTCAGTAAATTTTATAGTTTTAATGGTTGCCTATAAGTAAAATCACATTAGGAGGGATTTATCATTTTTAACTCTGTTCAATATTAATCTTAAAATGCCTGAAACTGGAATGCTCAGCTGGTTCTCCCTCAGATTAATTTTTCTTGGCCATGATAAAGACACAAGCATACAAACAGGGAGCATTATTACATGTGGAAATAAAAGTGGCTCTCAGAGCTATGTAGTTCATATTTGTTATTTTCTATCCTTTAAAAATAAAGGTAGAAAAATTTGGAAGCTTCAGATAGCTATTACTTTAATTACTTTTTATGAAATAATTGCACACACTTTTAGGATTCAGTGATTCCTCAAGCTGGTCTATTATCTCTGGCCACTATTATTATTATTATATGCAATCATTTCTAATTGTACTGCCCTGCCAATAACTGTAGCATTGTAAAAAATAATTTACACATGACTATGAATCTAAATCAGGCATAATGTTTTCTCAAATATATTATGTTAAATCTTATTTATTCTAGGAAACAACAAAGGACTCTGATGATAATTGCAGATGGAATAAAAGATTTAAAAACTTTACACGAAGATATTTACTTATATAGGTCTTAAAATTATCTGCAAAATAGACTAAATAGCTATTGCTTCTCAAGATATATTCTCTGTCAAACAAAGCTATGAAGAGTAAAGCAAATCATTGGTTGTTGGAGAATAATTATTTAGTTAAAAAACTAACAAGAAAATTTTAAATAGATAAAAGTGTTTTCATATAACAAATCTCAAGATGATTTTAATTAATCTGGAGGTGTCTTATATTTTTAAGGGTAGCCTGAAAAATATCATATTCTTATTTCGTATTAAATTTATAAAATGATCATGTTCACGATTGTTATCATAGTCAAATTATAAGAAAGCATTATTTCACACACTTTGAGGGCATTCACATATCACAAATTTGCAAGGAGAGTGTCAACTGTATTTCAAGCAGTATGTTAGAAAATCTGGCTCAGAAAGTAAAATAATACATCCAGTTTTTATCAGCAATTAACCAGCAAAAGCTAGATCTGTGCTACCTGCTCTCTGACTACTTTGGTTTTGTTCCTTGTATTTCAATAATAACATGAAATCAATTTTTAAAATTTCAGGAGACATATTTGATCTCAAGAGGGAAGACAGAATAAAGAAATGGTTAACAGATACATTAATGGTAGTTTTAGCAAGATTGCATTTGTATGTTTGGATGTGAAATATCTAAGTGGAATAAAATGAGAAGGTATAGTTACACTAGAATCTCTTTAGCAAATCAGACTTTGAAGAAGCCCATACAAAAGATTTGAGAGGCAACAAATACCAAGCAGGGTGGGGGGTTGGTGGTCTGCCTCATCATTGAGAACAAAACTGAGATGCTTCAATTCGTGAACTACGTGAAACTTATGAGACACAGCCCTCACAGGTGGCAATGACTTCAGTTCATCTAGGAAGCTATAATCAGGGAAGAAAAAGTTTGTGAGACAATATTTTGGTCATTGCTTACTAGAACTCTAATGATAACTACATTTTTCTCCTAATAATTTAAGGAAAGCACATGAGTACCTGGCCAAACACATTCTCCCTGGTCTTTATGAATAAGAAAAAAAAATAATAAATGGAAGTGGATACTGTTTATTCATTGTAGACTATGTTTAAGGAGCTGGTAATAACCCTACCAAGTATTAACAACTAATCTTATTTTTGAGATAAGAAAATTGAGACATGAAGGGGCCCTCTGTTATATGGTGGTGGAATCTAGATTTGAATCTGGATCTTTCAAGTTTACCGCTCATTTTCTTAAATAATTTATTACATTCCCTTGATAATGCAATGATTTCTATATTTTCTTTAATTTTCTAATTGAAATCGGGGTTTATTATGGACATTATGTTTAAGTTTGCCTTTATTTTTTTGACTTAATTTTAAAGTCTTAAAAGTATTTCAGGGGCACCTGGGTGGCTCAGCTGGTTAAGCGTCTGACTTCAGCTCAGGTTATGATCTCACAGTTGGTGGGTTTGAGCCCCGTGTCCAGCTCTGTGCTGACAGCTAGCTCAGAGCCTGGAGCCTGTTTCAGATTCTGTATCTCCATCTCTCTCTGACCTTCCCCTGCTCATGCTGTCTCTTATCTCTCTCTCTCAGAAATAAATAAAACATTAACAAAATTTTAAAAAAAGCATTTCAATATATTATAATGTACCTCCCTGGTTATATATCAATAATAAATCAAGCTGATGAGGAGTGATAAATACTTTAATGGTAACAGTTTCACAAAATAATATTGAATTTTAGTCAAATGAAAATATTGGGTCAACATAAAAATGAATAAGGTAATTATTAAAACAAGTCTGCTAAAAATTAAGCAAAATAATCACAATATAAAAATAATGGAACTTAGTACCTTCTTCTCTCCATAATATGTTAGCTACTGCAGCATGTTAAAAAGAAAAAAGAGAGAAAAAAACTGGGTAAATAGAGCTTCAACTGCATACTAATGTAAATAACTATTAAAGAGGTCACAATCTCTAAGAAAGAACATGTACATAAAAGTGATGTTGAATTCAACAAACTACTTTGAATTAACAAAACAGTAAAATGCTGGCACTAGCTAATAATGCTCTTTTCATTTCTTGAAATTGCCAATTCTTCTTTGGAATAAAGATGCTGTTAATAAACAAAAGCATTTTATGCACCACTGGAAAGAATGGGATATTTAGGTTAATGTTATTGAAATACATCTTAAGAACAAATATCGGTAGTTAACACTATTTACTTAAGACAGCATACTTAAAAGCTGCTAATTGAAAAAAAATTGTATTTTAACAATTCTCAATAATCACAATATGTAATATTCCTACATAATACACAATATTCCTGAGCAAGAAGAATTCTTCTAATTAAAGGATTTTGAACACAGAAGTATCCTATTTTTAAGTAGCATATGTTTTCACTTTTTAGATCAGACAGAATGAAATAGAGTAAAACCTTGGTTTGCGAGCATACATCGTTCAAGAAATATGCTGGTATTCCAAAGCATTTGTATATGAAAACAAATTTCAAGAACCACTGACCCAGCTGTGATCGTGTGACTTTTGGTATCGCATACTTTTTGTATTGGAAAACACTGCTCATTTATTGAGTTAAAATGTATTAGAAATGTTTGCTCATCTTGGAATACACTTGCAGAATAAGTTACTGACAATCTATGGTTTTACTGTATATCTAAATGTATCTTGCTTAGTTCAGTGCATAAATATGGTGCACATTCAGTTGTTAAAATATTGAGATAGAAATAAGAAATAAATACCAATTAGAAATATTCTCAGAGAAATGTCTGCCTCCATTACCAATTCAATGTTGCCCTAATTTTATGCTTTCAAAGCAAAATAGGATGTCAAAAGAAAGCGTGACTGCTGTAAAATCTCACACATAACTATTTCCTGAATATTTTAACCACACTAAAGCACAATCACTTTTTTTTTTTAATGGACCGCCCTGTGAATGCAGCAGAGCCAACACTGTAACCCAGCACTCCTCGCCAGAGGCTGACGGCCCAAGTTATCCAGGTTTCAAAACCTGCTATACTATTTAAAAATAAACTTTTGTAAAGTAAGCTTCATTTTGGTGATTCTTGGTGTTTTTAATTCTTTAAGAATATTTATTCAATTCTGAATGCATGCCATATTCTTCCTTTCTGGACATTTTGTTGTGCAATTCTTGTTGTCTACAGTGTTCTTGAAATGAATATGAAAACGATAGATCCTATTTGCGAGGAGAGGATATAGACCTCAGTTGCCAGCAGTTAAACTCAGGCCGGAAGTAGATGATCCTGCTCTGGAAGTATCATCAGAATGTCAATAGTAGTCTCAATGTCTAAGTCATTCACCTCACTTCCTCTCATCACACAGGAATTTTATCATCTCACTTCATCACATGAAGGATGGTGAGTATGGTTCAAAGAGATATTTTAAGAATGAGACAGAGAGAGAGAGACGCCACATTCACACAACTTTTATTAAGTACATTATTATAATTATTTTATTATTAGATATTTTTGCTAAGCTTTTGGTGTGCCTGAGTTCTAAATTAAATTTTATCATAGGTATGTATGGGTAAGAAAAAACACAGTGTATCGATGGTGCTATGAGTGGTTTCAGGCATCCACTGGGGGTGTTGGAATGTATCCTTGGCATAAGAGGGAGCTACTGTATTCAGAGAAATTTAAGTAACTGAGTCTATTTGAAGCACAAAAGTGATAACAGTTGAGGCCAGAGAATTTTTCCATGAGTAGATCAAAAAAGTCTTTTGTACTCAGTGCAGCAGTAGATATTAAATTTTCTTCTGTAGGCTCAAAAAAGACTGAGACATTATTAGACTTATCTTTGTGTGTGTGTGTGTGTGTGTGTGTGTGTGTGTGTGTGCGCGTGCACGCCTATGTGGGGTTTTTTTCCATTTATTAAAAAAAGGGGGGTGACCAGACCTCTTCTCCATTCATTCTTTCAGTGAGTACTGAGTGAGTGCCTAGCAGCTGTCAGACATTGTGCTCAGTAATACAATACACAGATTCGAACAGTCCTCGTCTCTCTGTTAATAGAGTTTATATTCTAGTTGAGAAGAAAATTAAAATTACAGAGTTAATGTGTTATGAAAGAGAGGAACAACCCTGTGAATGCTCTGAACAGGTGTATTAAGCATAATGAAATATTCAAATACAAGATAAATAAGAATGAACTGAGTGAGGATTTAGGGGTATGTTTTCCAGATACAAAGAAAAGCCTGTATTGTATGTATTGTTATTGTGTATTTAGGACATATTCCATCTTATTGTATACAGTTGGAATGCACATTAAATGTAAAAAATACTTTGAATTCAATTACAAGGGTATATTAACCAAGTCTTTTTCCTTAAACGTCTTTTCATTATTTTTCTGATCTTTATATAAATGTGCATGCAACAGGGGTGTTTCTGATTCTATAAGTAAATATGCACATATAAGAATAATTTTAAATCCTGTATATTCATTTATCATATTTCTACCCTAGTCTTCAAATATATACAGTTTTCATCATCATATAATATTCCTTCATGTGGATTTCTTCGTTTAAAAAAGACCATTGCTTATTATTCAATAATCCAAACTTAATACATAGACCAGAGGCTAGTTTGAGTTATAAGGTTCAATAAGTATCATTGAACTTATCAGTCAAAAAGATGCATGTATATATATTGATCTGCATATTTGTGTGTGTGTGTGTGTGTGTGTGTGTGTGCATGGATGTGTTTTAACTATGATGACCATCCTTCTATGTAGTTATTTCCATTAGTATGCATTCCTACAAGAGGTATGGGGATATTTAAAGCCATTGACACATGTTGTCAGGATAATTGTCAGACGGTTGTTATCAGCACCACAAGCAGTCTATGCAAGTATTCATCCCTCCACATTCAAGGAGGACTAAGACTGCATGTGTTTGTATGCGTGTACATATGCATAAGCTTACCAAATATGAATATATATTATATGATGCATGTATATATATATCATATGTATGTTATATATAATATATAACAGTTTAATTATAAGCTATATTGAGTATGTTTGCAAATATTTAAAGAAAAATTTCTTCTATTTATGCCTTTAATCCATTATTTCTATTGGGATGCTACTTTTCTATTTTTTATATCTTAACAGCTACATACATATCAGAATGACGTTGTTCTGCCATATTAATTTCTCTTTCACACAATTAAAACAGCTACTTACAGTAAATGCAGGCTTGATCATCCCATTTGTTTGCTTAAAAACATAATGCATATTTGTATGTGTGTAAGGACTCAAAGTCCTTAGCATAGCACATAAGATCATCCATGACATGCTTATATCATATTGAGCTCACATTCCAAACATCAAGTCATTTTGAATTCCTTCATTTTTACCTATATGTTAAATATGACAGTAATACCTTTACCAGAATTCTTCACTTAATTTGCCCCTAGAGTTCTTTTTTAAACCAGCTTATTTTTTTTTTTCCTGTAGAACCAACAGTCTGGCCTTAATCAGTTGTTTTCTGTATTTATAGAATCCTATGAAACACTTAATGTATCCCTTAATATAGCATAAATAAAATTCTGTTCTGAAATCTTTTATTTATAGTTGGACAAAAACTCTCAAATATATAGACATTCAGCAATTAAATGCTTATTCAAGACTAAAATGAAATGCAAAATTCTTTCTGAAGATAGCAGATACTTTATAATGAAAATGTGGTTCAATGAAACAGATGCCTGGACACTAGTAACAGAATCTTTTATTAATGCCTTTTTAAATTTTTTAAGTGTATTTATTTATTTTGAGAAAGAGAGAAAGCACAAGTGGGTGAGGGGTAGAGAGAGAGGAGAGAGTGAGAATCCTAAGAAAGCTCTGCACCATCAGCACAGAGCCTGACATTGGGCTCTAACCCACGAACCGTGAGATCATTACCTGATGCTTAACTGACTGAGTCACCCAGGTGCCTCAATGCCTTTTTAAAATAAATTGCCTTATTTTATATATTAGAGACTTATAATTATATTCTAAGTGATGAATCTCATATTAAATATGGTGTTTGTGGAAATATATGTGGGAGATTTGAATATTATATAAGTAACAGCAATCAGGTGATTAACTACATAGCAGCATGTCATAGTATTAAACAGCTAATTTTACTTGGCTACTCATATGTAAACTGGTTGGCTTTTCATTAAATAAGTTTTTGCTTGCCCTTGTCTTTGAAAGTGTAAGGTTTTCACTAGTGGAAAACTTTTTGTTTATAAACTGCATTTATGTAAGGATAGCATTTTAGTTAGATGTCTTATTGACTGTTTCACCTTTTGGATTTAAGAAATTAACTTCAGAAGGCAAATGGAAAAGGACAACATTAAAAGAAAATGTAGACAAAATTTAATGTATCTAAAAATTGTATGGTTAGTATTATGGTAGCTGAAGTTTCTTTGAATGTGCATATGGAGAATGACATGAGACATTTAAAATATACTATTTTTAAGATGGAAAGCTATGTAAGATATGTCAAGTACATTGCTTGCCATGTGCCAAATTCAAAGCCACTTTTAAGTAAAACTGTCTCTTGCTGGGCACTGATTGAAGATGACTCTCCCCACTGACTATACAAATTTCCAACCTAGTGTCTAACATTAAATGAGCAGGCTATAGTGTCCAGCTTACATTAGGGAATATGACTCAGAAACTGGTCAGGAATCCAAGGTCTTAATTTCTATGAACTGATGAAATGAGATGATCAGATTCTTTTCAAGGGTAATTTGAATCAAGAAATCATGTTAAAAAACTGAAAGCACAGAGAACCAAAATTGTAAGTACTCGTAGCACAAGGCACCATTATGTAGAGTCAGAGCCCCTGATAATAAGTGAG